CCCCAGGTCTGCTGGAGATCCGCGCCGTGGCCGTGCGCACCGTGGCCATCAAGGGCGTGCGGAGCTCCCGGTACCTGTGCATGGACGAGGCGGGGCGGCTGCACGGGCAGGTGAGCACCCGCTCCGCTGCGGCTCCTCGCAAATCTCTTTTCCCGAGGGTGATTTCCACCCTGAAACAGCAGGCGAGACCAAAGAGCTGGAGTGATTTTTTTATCACTGTGGTTAATAATGGATTAACCAAGCTTTCAGGTCAACCCGACTTCCCTTTTCTCCATAGGAAAGGTGATTCTTGTCACTGTCCGAAGGGCTGTGGGGGTTATTAGAAGGCAGGAAGGAAACATCGTTTAGAAAGTAAAGTATGTTTGCGTGTTCCCTGCCGAAATATCCTGACAAAACAGTTCAGGGCAAAACTGTGTTTAGGTTTAAAAAGCCTTGTCAGTAGGAGACTGTGATTCTGCTGCAGGAATAGATTAAGGTGTGCCATAGAATATGAATAATTTCTCACTGTTTAGGTCGGGTATTCTAAAAAAAACCCCAAGATTACTCCTTTGGAGGGGAGCTGCAGCCAGCTGGCTGCCAGGCATACAAGTCCCAGAAACATGGGAGAGCCATCTCTTAGGTAGTTGCAAACAAGCAGGATTTCGAGGGGCGAAGGATGCTTCTCCACTGCTTTACTTCTGTCCTGTCATAACAGCACACCTGTGGGACTCCAAGAGGCTGAAGAGCTGAGTTATCCACTGACACTACTTTGTTAGGTCATGCTTTCTCACTAGGCATAGCAACCAGTTCATTGATATAAACTCATTCTTTAAGGCAGAACTCCAGAATTTGAGGGGTAAGGCTCAGATTCGGTCTGTACAGAAGCCTGAGTTTCACAGAGCAATGGCTTTTCATTATGCCACAGTAAGGATACAGCTTGATTCTGCTTTGACTACTCCAGCAAAATCTCTGCTGACTTCAACTGTGCAAGGACTTGACCCATTCTCAAAACTCCCAATATCCTTAATAAGAGCAATACTGATGTTTCTGAATGCAGATGTAACATAGAACTAAGCCTTTCTGAATTTCCTTGCTTTTTTAAGTTCAAATCCATCAATGCCATGGTAAGGTGCACAGGTTCAGACATTATGGGAGGTCAGTTATTAGCTTAATGTTTTAATGTATGTCCAAAGCAAAATGATCAACAAAAATCAGAGCCTGGATCCTTCTCCCATCAGAGCTGCCAACTGCACATTAGCAATCACAGAAATTTAAAATAGCTTTCCTATAGCACCATTTTGAAGGCATATGTATCTTTGACTGAAACTTTGATGGTGTGGAGTTTTGGTGTAGAGTATTAAATGCAGGTTGGTTTTTTTTCTCTGAAAACACAACAGCATGAAGCCATGCTGTCACATCTAGATGTTGTGGACACCTGCTGACACCTCTCTGCTCACAGCCCAGCCAAGCAGCTCTGCAGGCAATTCTCTACCTTATCAGCACCATGCTCAGGAGTGGAAGAACGAAAGGGCAAACAGTGTCTGGGGACTGCATGTGTACTCTTGACACATGCCCTTTTTGAACACTGGAAAACTGATGACTAGGGTTGATTTTTGAATGTGCTGTGTGCTGTAGTCAGTAGCTGAGGGGAAGTGGTGTCACTGCTGAATATACTGACACAGTATAAATCCCTCCTGTGAAAAAAAGAATCTGGAAATACTTAAAGTGTGTTTGGTACTTGTGCAAAAATTATACTGGACACAATCCCAATGAAATGAAGAGAGAATGATATAGTTGAGACATGGGGGGCTCAATCAATACCTGATATTTGTAATGGGCACTTCTTGAGCAAGAAGCTCTTTTATTTCATCATCCTGGTTAGTGAGGCTGAGCACTCATAGAAATAAAGGCAGCTAACAATTCAGTCATAAATTTGTCATATACACATATTTTTCGTACATATAATGTGTGTAGAAGGATAAGTATTGCATCATTTTATTTGGAAAAAAATATCCTTTTTTGAATTACTCAATTAGTTTTAAAAGTGCTTTTAAAAGAAAACCAAATGCATGTGCTTATCTGTGCTCCATATTACTGAGGGTGTTTGAGAAAGGTCTGAAAGTATCAAATATTCTCTATTCAGACAGGCAAACCATTCATGTAGGGACACTCCTATCTGCAAACTGAGACATAATCAGCAATTCTCTTTTATTGACCTCGAGTTCAGTCCACCTGCAGTTGCTGAGCCTGAAATAGCACCAGAGTTGTAAGAAATGCAGTGCTTGTGTAAGGATCTGGAAAGGTCTGATCTGCTGGCACAAAATCCTAATATAATATCTGTACAGGCTACCACAAATGTAATTCTCTAAATTAATACCTAAGAAAATACATTCTTCTGCACAAAATCTGAACTTATGATGGTATTAATCTGACAATTCATTTGATTAGTTTGACAGTTCTCATGTGTAATGTGAAAAGAACAGTTTTTAAATGGGTCTTTTGTAATTTCAGTAAATGTTGAGTGAGGTAAAAAAAGGCAATTGCCTTTTAGCATTGTTTTACTGATTGGCCACTTTGCCTATCTACAGACCTGATTCTGAAGCCCTTAATCAGGCAAATGTCTAACAGAGCTGAAGGACATATCCTCTGTATCTGAGTATTGTTGGATTAGGTCTCATGACTGCAGTGAATTAATGACAGCAATTACGGACAGTTTATCTAAATGGGCATGGGCATCTGAGATTCTTTTTCCCTGATGCTCAAGACAGGTAGCTGTCAGGACAAGTGTGGTATCCAGGATTCAAAGCTTATTTAATGGGATGGATGTCTTTCAATAGTCTTGTCACCCAAAATGCATTCTGTGTGCAATGTGGGGAGTCCTAGTAGAATAAAATGGAATGGACTGGACTAGGATAGAGTATTTCAGTTGAAAGGGCCCTACAGCTATCAAGTGCCTGATCACATCAGGGCACTTCATCTTGGTGGCTGTGGTCCATCACTGAAAGAGCAGTTGCCAGAGCAATGGGTCCCACCTGCATTCCAGCAGCAGCCAGAGAAACAAGCAGTGGGCAGCTCAGCAGCATCTGGCAAGGTGTACCAAACTGGGGCACTTGGGACAAGCCAGAGGGACATCCCCACTGACAGCAGAGGGAGTAGGGCTAGTCGCATCCAAGGTTTATGTTGTGGTTGAATACAATGAGTCTGGTGGGTATATGTGTAATTGGAATTACTCCTTGCTGTTCAGCTCAGGTATTCCACTGAGGATTGTTCCTTTGAAGAGGAGATTCGCCCAGATGGCTACAACGTATATAGATCAAAAAAATACGGAATATCGGTGTCTTTGAGTAGTGCCAAACAAAGACAACAGTTCAAAGGAAAAGATTTTCTTCCACTGTCTCACTTCTTACCTATGATCAACACTGTGCCAGTGGAGTCAACAGACTTTGGTGAATATGGTGACTACAGCAAAGACTTTGAGCCAGAGGTGTACTCATCCCCTCTCGAAACGGACAGCATGGACCCCTTTGGCATCACCTCCAAACTGTCACCTGTGAAGAGCCCCAGCTTTCAGAAATGACCCTGCTCACACTCACACATGTTTTTAAAGAAATGTTGCAGAGTACTGCAGGTTTTTTAGCTTTTCATGTAGTGACATTTGGAACTTTTTTGTATATTTCAGTATGGATCCAGCCTTTTCCTTGCAATGTGTTGTACCTGGACTAGATGAGTGCCAAGAGGCTATTCTATAGTCTAAAGAATTGCCAATCCATAGTTTTGTTTGGAAAAGAAGGATTAAATAAGAAAATCTTAGCAACTTCATCAGAGTTCCTCCATTGTCACCGTGATGATAAAATAACTCTTAATTTTGCTACATTGACTTCATTTCTACATATGTTCACCTGTTATTTCTGCTCATAGGAGCAAATGCAGAAATTTTTTTTCTCCTCAGAGACCTTAAAGACAGACATTTGGAACAAAACTCGATTAAAGAAAACCTAGCAGATGTGGTTTCACAAACAACAGTTAATGCTGTTTCTTGAGAGGCTGCTGACAATGTTCTTGGAAAAACTTTCTATTGAAAGCATATTACTGATAAAACAGATCTGCTTGTACATTGTGCTTTTTCTTCCCTTAGGAAATAAGGGAAGAAAGGGAAAGATTTCTTCCTTCCCTTATTGCTAAAGGGTACTTTGGAAAACTCGATCTTTGATTTCTTTTGTAGGCTAATTTATGTTCTCTGTGACATCAGCATCATCCAGCAGAGAGTTGTCATTAACACTAGTGAGAATTCAGTGTGTGGCTGGAAGAGTGTACAGAACTAGCATTTATTTAGGTAGGGAATGAGCTGTTCAAATTAGTGTTTAAATTAAGATTCTGTTGTATATAAACATGTAAGTCATTAGCAAACAGAGGAAAACACCAAAAATGGATGATGCATAGGTCAATTGCAAAATAGGTTTTCAGGTTTAGCCTTTAACCATCAGCAATTCCTTCAAGTCACTTCCAGGTTTCATTCAGCACCTGTGGGAATCAGTGGAGAGACCGTTTAGTGACTTAAATGCTGCAGAACTGGGTCAGCAATGCTGTTCCCTTTGTGGGAAGGGATTGTAAGTACCTCATGGCCAAGACAGATGTCTGATGTCTTCAGTTCTGTTCTCCCTTTGAAACATTTTGACACAGAAATAACCAAGGTGAAAGCAAAGGGAAAAAAAAAGAAAACAAAATGTGAGAAGACAGTTCAGGGATTCTACTTGTTTCCAAAGGTTCATATATAATAGAGATTTCTGTACGAAAAAAAAAACCTCTACTGGAAATACTGGTGTTCTTCTGCCTAGCACTTCATTGCCAATGCAATATTTATAATTAATTTATTGATACATACTTCTGTTTATTTTGTTACTCTTATTTATGCTCAAAATTCTATTTATATACTCCCGAAGGTGGGTTTTTTAGTTGTAACAAATCTTGTGAAGTTTTGTAATCATGAAATTTTAGCTTTTTTAATTTCTGTGCAGTATCAGTAGTGTAATGTGTACATTTGCAATAAAAAAGAAAATCATCTTTAACACTGAAATCTAGTTGGCTTTTTCATCACTCCCTTAGTCTAGATACTTCAAGGAGCTTAGCAGACCTTGGCACCTGTTTTTGCAGCACCCTATGAAGATGGAGCCCCTTGGGAAGGTGATGTGCTTGACAAAAAATCCTATGGGTGGAAGGCTGCTCCCTTTTGAAAATGGGAACCATACTAAGCAGTGCATCCAGGGAGAAAACTGGTTATTTTTACCTGAAAAAGATGTGAGTTTCTGGCAGGAAAAGAGAATGAATTTTTGCATTTGGAAATGTTGTGAGTTACAGGAATTGCAGATTTCTTGCCTGGCAAACATCTCCCATGGTGTTTTCTGTTCTCCCTTGTGCTGAGCCATTGCCACACAACTGGAGGGTTCCTGATCTTCATGTACTGGGAAACATAGTCCTAATTTTTAACTTGTTTTCTTCCAAAAGTTCTCTCTCGCATTTGAGGCATTCTCTTTTTGGGATATTCATTTCCAGTTTTGATCAGCCACTGCATTTTCTTTGAAAACTGGATACCTTTCAAGACCTTCTTTCATAATAAATAAATAAAACTGAAACCAAAATAAAATACATATGAACTTTTAAAGTTTGGTCAAACAAATCCACTTCTACTGTTCTGCTGGAAAAAAAATGCACAAATTTGATGGGAAACATAGCAAATAATGGAGTTCAGAGGTTAATTTGTTTAATTTCACCAGTGAGAAGTTTTTTAAGCCGATGCAATATTGTTGTTTGTGAATATTGCTCAAGGCCACAAGGATGAACAACCTCACATTTGTGAACAATATCTTGAGCTCTCTGGTGACCGTATTTGCTGACACCTCTGGATTAACATCTTCCACCAGCAGCACAATGTTTCTTACTGCAATAGCATGGTTAGAGGTTGGTTCAATATTTATTCAGACTGGAGGGAAGAATGCCACGAGCTAAATTACCCACACCACTTCCTGGAGCACTTTAGTTTTCCTTGGAGTTTTCCCATCCAAGCTCCGACCAAACCTGGCTGTTTTGCTTATGAAATCTGACAAGATCACAGCTTGAGGTGGAAGGATTACTCGAAAATGCTTTCCATTCCCTACCACACCTGACTAGGTCAGGAACTTGGTGTGCAAAACCTCCAAACAGCATTGCCTTTGGTTCTGTGGGAATGTAAACACTACCTCCACCATTCCCCATGTTAGTCCTGGTCAATCTTAGTTTCTCAAAGACAGTAGGACAATTGCTGTGCTTTCATTTGCAATAGCACATTTTACAGCCCTAAAAGGTTTTTAAAGGTCAGGTGTCAAATGTCTCTCAGGAACTTGGTGTGCAAAACCTCCAAACAGCATTGCCTTTGGTTCTGTGGGAATGTAAACACTACCTCCACCATTCCCCATGTTAGTCCTGGTCAATCTTAGTTTCTCAAAGACAGTAGGACAATTGCTGTGCTTTCATTTGCAATAGCACATTTTACAGCCCTAAAAGGTTTTTAAAGGTCAGGTGTCAAATGTCTCCTTGTGAAGTCTGTTAGAAGCTATGATGTGCAAATACAAGTTGTTAGAGTAGTGGCAAGGCTGTAGGAAAGGAGACAGTGAGAATCTTCATTTCCACTTTGGGGAAGTGTAAAAACTTATGAATACTTTATTTAAGACTATCAAGATTGCCCCTTCTCATAGCACTGAAATGTTGTGGTGTATAATTTGGGACCATTCTTTTGACTCTGCCAGTGTATGAATGGAAAACAATGTGATAAATTGAATAAATGTACTTTCTTTCCTCAAAAATATACCTAAGCCAACACTCCTTGGGCAGCTCCAGACACAATGAAAGCAGAGGCACATTTTCCTTGAAAATAAATGGAGATGCAAAAGGGACAACATTAGGATTCTGATTTCAGGTTCCATTTGTGGCAGTCTAGGGACGCAGCAAGTTTATTGGGAACTGTATTGAGTGAGATTTTTTGTTGAAGGCATGTAAAGATGCACCCAAACGAGGCTGGTGTTTTGTTGTCTTCTTGCCAGGACATTATTATATTTTCAGCTTTTTTTCATCAATCCCACTATGCACTGAGGTCAAAAACCTGTTTTTTTATTAATTTCCAAAGCAACATTTCATCTGTAGCAGTTAGCTTAGAGGAAACCTTCAAAGACACCTTATCTTTGCAAGGACATCAGTGATCACCTCCATCTCCTGCCGCGATTCCTGCCCGATCCTGACCCTGATCCCGATCTCAGTCCCGATCCTGACCCTGATCCCGATCTCAGTCCCGATCCTGACCCTGATTCAGGTCAGGTCCCAACCCCAATCCAGGTCCCGACCCTGATCCTGATCTCGATCTCGACCCTGATCCCTATCTTTATCCCGATCCTGGTCTTGATCCTGGTCCCGATCCCAATCCCAATCCCGGTTCTGATCCTGACCTCGGTCCCAGTCCTGAACCTGATCTGGATCCTGATCCCGAACCTGATCCCTATCTCTATCCCAGCTCTCAGGTCCCAACCCCAATCCAGGTCCCGACCCTGATCCTGATCTCGATCTCGACCCTGATCCCTATCTTTATCCCGATCCTGGTCTTGATCCTGGTCCCGATCCCAATCCCAATCCCGGTTCTGATCCTGACCTCGGTCCCAGTCCTGAACCTGATCTGGATCCTGATCCCGAACCTGATCCCTATCTCTATCCCAGCTCCAATCCAGGTCCCGTTCCTGATCCTGATACCGGTGCCAGTCCTGATCCCGATCCCAATCCCCATCCCGATACTGATCCCAATCCTGACCCCGATCCCAGTCACAATCCCGACCCTGATTCAGGTCCCAACCCCGATCCAGGTCCCAATCCCGATCCCGATCCCCATCCAGATCCTGATGCCAACCCTGATCCCGACCTCCGATCCTGGCCCTGATCCCGATCCCAATCCCCATCCAGATCCTGATGCCAACCCTGACCCCGATCCCAATCCCGGCCCCTATTCCGGTCCCAGTCTTGATGTTGACCCCGACCCCGACCCTGACCCTGATCCCGATTCCAATCCTGACCCCGGTCCCGATCCCAGTCCCAATCCAGACCTCGATCCTGATCCCTAACCCCGTCCTGCTCCCGCTCCCGATGTCAGTGGCGATCCCTATCCTGATGCTGATGCCAGCCCCAGTCCCGATGCCGATGCCGACCCAGACCCCCTATCCCAATCCCTGTCCTGGTCCCGATCCTGGTCCCTGTCCCTATCCCTATCCCTATC